TGAGACGATGTTTTTGCGATCGCTTAGCGATGGTCCCTATGGGGAAAATTCGCTTTGTGATGATCGCAGGGAAGCGATCATCACAAAGCCCCCATTTTCAGCTAGCTGATCGGCGGTTCCAAAATGGCCGCCCGCTGTGTTGCCTCGCTTTAGAGGCACGGAAAATGGCCACCCCTATGGAGGATTTTCGCTTAAGGTTAGTTTTTAAGCCCATAGGAACACATTAATGGCATTTTAATGCGTTTCTATGGGCTTTTTAATATCGCTTAGCGATGAAATTGCTTAGCAGCGATTTTTGCTGCATGGATTAACATCGCTAAGCGTGGCACCACTGTAATCATGTGCCATCAAGTCGATTCCGACTTATTGCAACCCTTCTCAGAATTTTCCAGGTAGTGAAAACTCAGAAGTGGTTTCCATTCCCTTCTTCTGGGATTACCCTGGAACTCTTAGCTTGCAGCCTGGCTCTGCTTGAAGGAGGCCCAGTGGGGATTCCGACTTATTGCAACCCTTCTCAGAATTTTCCAGGTAGTGAAAACTCAGAAGTGGTTTCCATTCCCTTCTTCTGGGATTACCCTGGAACTCTTAGCTTGCAGCCTGGCTCTGCTTGAAGGAGGCCCAGTGGGGAATCAAACTCTCAACCTTTGGTTCCGCAGCCAGATTACTAAATCACTGAGCTATCCAGCTGAAGGAAGGGGAAGATATAAAAACACCTAATAACTAAATGCACAAATAAATCTGTGGTACCCCTCCCCATTAGCTTTTCTTCTTATATTATGGAGCTTATAGCAATGTTGGTGATTCTTGCTCTCTTTGTACCCTTCGAAGTATTTTGTACCCCAGTACTGTAGCTCCTTGTTTAGTGTCCAGGGTAAAGGGAGTGCAAGCACATTCAAATTCCTGCCAGCATATGTACCATACCTTGCATGCTTGGGCCCTGGGAGCAGCTGGCTGGCATGTAGCATGCTCAGCCAATGTAGAAGAATGTGAACATGCAAGAAAGAGACACCCAGAGAAAGGGAGGGAGTGGTAAGGGAAGAGGGCTGCTATTAGTCATCTTTTACCCACTTACTCACATGACCTGTTTTTTATAGTTGAGTTCTGCAGGCCAGAGTCCTAATACTAATTAACATATGCATAAGAACAAGATATATAAGTCATTAAGGGAGCACTGGTTCTGTCTGTGATCACATCCTTGATCAGTACAGGAATGCAACCAGTACACTTCTCCCTTCAACAATGCGGGAATTAGGGCAGCCAGACCTCTGTGTAGTTCAAAAACTATATATACTGTGATTTTCTGTGTATAAGACACCCCCATGTATAAGACGCCCCACACTTTTCTAACCCAAAAGTAAGAAATCTAAGTGGGACTTAGCAAGTGTAAGGGGGAAAGGGATCAAGGCCCTGCAGGATCACTTTGATCCCTGCTTTCCCTTCTTACTTCTGTGTATAAGACGACCCTCAAATTTTAACCTAAAGATTTTAGACAAAAGTAGAGTCTTATACATGGAGAAATACGGCAGGTCCTTCCCATTCTGCACACCAGATGATAGATTTATGGCAGTTCCAATTTGTTGTTGTGATTGTGAAGAGGAGTTTCCATGTTACAGGTCCCCGACCTCAATACAGCCAACTCTGATTGGCTATGATTCTTAGACCCAGCAAGACCCTTACCCCTCCTACTTGGTCCATTTCACTAGACATGCTGTAAGTTGAAACTGGGACTGCACTCTGCAAAGGCCAGGCTCTGCTACTCTGCAAGTGTGCCTTAGTGGTTTGAGTATTGGATTAGAGCTGAGGAGACCTGGGTTCAAATCCTCACTTGGCCACGAAACCCTCTGGGAGATCCTGAGCCAATCACGCGCTCTAGTCTGACCTACTTTTCAGGGTGGTTGGGAGGAAGGGGGAAGGAGAGCCATGCCCAACTGCCTTGAGCTCAGTGAAGGAATGATAATAATGAAATAATCATGTGCCGTCAAGTCAATTCTGACTTATGGCAACCCTTCTCAGAATTTTCCAAGTAGTGAAAACTCAGAAGTGGTTTCCATTCCCTTCTCCTGGGATTGTCCTAGCTTGCAGGCTGGCTCTGCTTGAAGGAGGCCCAGTGGGGAATCAAACTCTCAACCTTTGGTTCCGCAGCCAGATTACTAAATCACTGAGCTATCCAGCTGAAGGAAGGGGAAGATATAAAAACACCTAATAACTAAATGCACAAATAAATCTGTGGTACCCCTCCCCATTAGCTTTTCTTCTTATATTATGGAGCTTATAGCAATGTTGGTGATTCTTGCTCTCTTTGTACCCTTCGAAGTATTTTGTACCCCAGTACTGTAGCTCCTTGTTTAGTGTCCAGGGTAAAGGGAGTGCAAGCACATTCAAATTCCTGCCAGCATATGTACCATACCTTGCATGCTTGGGCCCTGGGAGCAGCTGGCTGGCATGTAGCATGCTCAGCCAATGTAGAAGAATGTGAACATGCAAGAAAGAGACACCCAGAGAAAGGGAGGGAGTGGTAAGGGAAGAGGGCTGCTATTAGTCATCTTTTACCCACTTACTCACATGACCTGTTTTTTATAGTTGAGTTCTGCAGGCCAGAGTCCTAATACTAATTAACATATGCATAAGAACAAGATATATAAGTCATTAAGGGAGCACTGGTTCTGTCTGTGATCACATCCTTGATCAGTACAGGAATGCAACCAGTACACTTCTCCCTTCAACAATGCGGGAATTAGGGCAGCCAGACCTCTGTGTAGTTCAAAAACTATATATACTGTGATTTTCTGTGTATAAGACACCCCCATGTATAAGACGCCCCACACTTTTCTAACCCAAAAGTAAGAAATCTAAGTGGGACTTAGCAAGTGTAAGGGGGAAAGGGATCAAGGCCCTGCAGGATCACTTTGATCCCTGCTTTCCCTTCTACTTGTTTTTGTTCTCACCTCAGCTTACTTCCGTGTATAAGACGACCCTCAATTTTTATTCTAAAGATTTTAGACAAAAGTATATTCTTATACACAGAAAAATACAGTAACTCTTATGCCCCCTAAAACTTAACTTCAAAGCATAAACAGTTGATTAAGATGCACATGCACATAGAGACCACTTCTCTATCAGGGGTTCTCTTCCATAGTATTAACAATCCTTTCCATAAAATACCATGTGTAAGGAGCCTTAAAGGTCTTTTTAACCTCTTGATCTAGAGACAGAATTAGAGATGTTGTCTGGGGGCAAGTAGACCACTTTGACGCCTTCGGTGTTTGAGCTCATGCCCCTAGTTCTGGGTGGCCAGGGGCGCAGAATTTATTGGATATCTATTTATTGAATTTTGTTTGTTTATTAGAATATTTATTTACTTATTGAAAAAAATCTGTGTAGTGTTCAGACCCATGCAATTCAAGGGAGAAGTATACCTTAATAATAAGCAACAGGGTGCCACCAAGACTTGAGCAGTTTGCTTTGTGTAAACGTAAGTCAGCAGTCGGATTCTGGTCACTGTGCCATTAGCTTTGAAACACACTAACCTTCTCATCATTTCAGGAACATTACAGTGGTGCCTTGCAAGACAAATGCCTCGCAGGACAAAAAACTCGCAAGACAAATGGTTTTGGCAATGGGGTTGATGCTTCGCAAGATGATTTTTTTCCGTTTTTTGTTCCTTCCTCATGTTTGCTGATTTTTAAATGTTTTTCTATGGTGTTTAAAAAGTTAAAGTTTTTTGATTGAAATTTTTAAAATCATCTGCACAATATGTATGGTTTTAAGGAGCACTTAATAAACCCTTTGTAAACCAAATTCGACTTTGTTCTGACTTTTTTTGCCCATAGGAACGCATTAATTAGATTTCAATGCATTCCTAAGGGAAAATGCGTTTCGCAGGATGAATTTTTCGCAAGACAACATTAACCGCGGAACAAATTAAATTCGTCTTGTGCGGCACCACTGTATTTTGTTAGGGCCAGTGCTACCATGAAACAGAGACATATGCATGCTTCAGGCAGCAACAGGAGGGTGGCTGGCAGTAGCCAAAATCAGGAACTCTGGTACATGAATGGTAAGCAAGACTTTTCAAGATGTTGGTATTTAGGCTCCACCTTAAGACAGGGCAGGGGGCTTTTGGGCCCCAGCTGAGGAGGCAAAATGTCTTGAGATGGTACCAAGAACTGGAAAGGCTAAAGAGAAGGGCAACAGTTGAAGCACCTTTCCTGTGAAACGAGCAAAGTGCAACGTGTTTTATATTAGAAAAATATGACGTTGTTGTATATTCTGGAAGATGGATCAGAGAAATTGCTGGTGTAACATGGAACTGAAAGGCATGCAGATTGAATCTTTTCCTCTGGACTTTGTTTATTATTTCTAAAGCAGTTCAAACATTTTTTAAAAGCCATTTTAAAAACAGTTGTAACGCTCAGGTTCACTCAAAGAATTGGGCATAGTCAAAGACAAGTAAAAACCAGTGTTTTTTCACACTGCACGTGATCAACTGGCTGGGCATGATGGGGCAGAATCCAGTACTGGGTTAGGAAAAGCTGCCGAAACATATACCTTAGTTTGGCAGTTTAAAATCTCAGTTTGTATTGGATTAACCAATATCGCTGTAGAAAAGTGTGACACTTCAAGCCCCATGGAACAGTTTCATCAAGCAGAATGCAAAAGCTGCATCCTAGTGGCTTTATCAAAATATTTTTGATTATTTCTCTTTCAGCATTCCTATTTAGTTCCCTCTGGGTCTTGATAGTTTTATCTGACGTTGTTGGCAACCATTAAAAGCCTGCTTTTCCAGCCATCAATAAGCAGACTTCCTTTTTTAAAGGGGAGAGGGAGGAAAGAAATAAAAGCTGGTCTTCTCAAGAGACTCAGTCCTGTGCTTGAAAGAATTCTGATATTTTATTTTAATTTTTAAAACTTGCCTTAATATGGATTCATGGGGTACGTCCACAATCCTGGGCATTGCAAGTTGTCTCCTTTAACAGATTTTGTTGTAAATTCTCTTCTAGATTGGAAACTTCGGACGAACATTACCAAAGGATTGGCAAGTGATAAGTAAGGAATTCCTGGGGCGGTTCCAGCCTGGATCAAAGTCCTAGAAAGGTAAGAAAGGCGTAACGATGGCCCTGCTTATTCTTGCTTTTATGGTAGTCTCATTTCAGCGATACCTCGGTTTACGAACGCCTCGGTTTACATAATTTTCGGTTTACGAACCGAAATCCATAGAAAATAATGCCCCAGTTTATATTTTTTTCCTCCTTTCCCCCCGCTGTATGAAAAGGTTTCCCCAGAATGGGGCTGGAGGTTTCTAGTGATGCCCCATTCCTAGCACAATCTGCGTTTCAGTTTATGAGATTTCTGCATTACGTAAAGTTCCGGAGGACGCATTAATTTTGTAAACTGAGGTATCCCTGTACAAGGATTTCAAAATAAGCAGTATCAAGCTTGGGCTAAATTAGTTTTTATCAGACTTTTCACCTGGTTAAAGAAATCTTAGCAGTTTAATCATCTCCCCAGTTTCATTTGCTCATGAAATTTGGATATTGTATTTCATGCCAGTGAAGGAATAATCCTGAATGGCAGCTGGGAGAAGGGGAAAATTTGTCGTAAAATAATAAATGCAAGTGTCGTCCAACTTTAGAGGTAACGTTTCTTGGGCCCTAAGAGTGGAGCCCCCTGCTATACAGTCAGTATTTTCCAGCTTTGATTCCTGCCATCTCTAGTTCAAAAAGAATCAGGCCCTGGAGATTTACTTACGAATCCGCTGGGCTGGAATGAGGCAGCTTCCTCACCTCATTTTCTAAATTCTTGTTCTTATTAATTATATGTATACATGGATATATGCTTGTCTACTTCTACCTGCATCTTCTACTGTATATATTTTGCTCCAGATAGCGAGGAGCATGTTTTTACATTAATCGAGCTGCTTTTAATGCATCATGCAAACAATACAAACCAAACGTTAGAACGTTAGAACTGTTTTCGTTTGCTAGTTTTAATAGTCAGCCTTTTTAATTATGCAATTTTGTTTTGCTTTTAATACTGTTTATTTTAATATTTAATATTATTGAGGAGAAAGGTGAGGGGTATAAATATTTCAAATAAACAAATAAATCCTTAGTTTTTGCAACACTGCAGAGAACCAAAGATGTGTTTTTATGAGCAATATTTTTTTTATCTGCCCAGTGTAGTGCAGCTGGTCCTTGGCCTGGACTTCAGATATCCAGGTTCATGTTCCAGCTCAGCCTGGAAACATGGCTTTGAACCAGTTGGCCTCACTCTAATTTAATCTGATTAAGTTTTTCTGTGAGAAGGGATGAAGCATCTACAAGCCTCCGAATGCCTTGAAGCTAAAATGGAGTAAAAATGAAAAGTGTACAGTATATACAGTGGTGCCTTGCAAGATGAAATTAATCAGTTCCGGGGTTAATGTTGTCTTGCGATATTTTCGTCTTTCGAGCTGCGGTTCCCCATAGGAATGCATTGAAATTTAATTAATGCGTTCCTATGGGAATTTTTTTTAAAAGTCACTTACCAGTTAGGGAGCTGTGCAAGCACCATCAGAGGACTGGCGCGGGGGGGGGCCTCACCCGGATCACTGCCTTAGGAGTTCCCCTGGGGATTCCCTTGCACCATTGGAGGACTGGTGGGGGTCCCTCCGAGTGGCGAGCGGCGCTTACACAGGCTTGTCCAGCACCATTTTTGAAGATTGTGCCCTTTCTCCCTGCCTTTGGTAAGGCTCCGAATGGAAAAAGGCTTTCTTTTTTTCCCTTTTCCGTTCAGAGCCTTACCAAAGGCAGGGGGAAAGGGTGCAGTCTTCAAAACTCGTCAAAAAGGGTGCTGGACAAGCCTCTGCAAGCCCATTCGTTGTGCGAAAAACGGCCATAGGAAGAATCGTCTTGCGAGGCACCAAAAATCTTGTGGGACCCATTCGTCTGGCTAGTTTTTCATCCGGCGAGGCAATCGTCTTGCAAGGCACCACTGTACTCTGTGTACACATCTGCTAGATTTGTAGCTTTTTTGGGTACGGAACTTGGATTTTCACAGGGTGGAGCTTTATCTGGGAACCCAAAGTTTTCACAAGTAGCAACCTATACAATAAGACCCCAACTTAGTGTTCAGGACGTGTCCCAAGAAAATGGAGCACTAGCTTTATCAGTTCTAAATGGGATAATTCAACATTGTGCTGTATGCCAGGAGTTATGGAGGCCTTCTCTACCTCCATTGTGGAGCTGTTACACAGGTCTCCATGTCCACCAGGAGTAGGGTTGCTAGATGTCAGGCAAAAGGTACAGGTCTCCATGTCCACCAGGAGCCCAGTCTACTTCCTTCAGGTAGATAGATCTCTCACTGAGCACCACAAAATGGCTGCCTATGTATGTGGGCTATGATGAATCAGCGCTATAAGGGGCCACGTTGTTATTGGCAGGCTCTTGTTTCTCTTTATTTCATTCGGCCTTTGTTTGTTTTTTTAAGATGGAGAAGGAGGAAGAAGAAGAAACTCGGGAGATTCTTCTCCCGGACTGGGAAGGCAGTGGTTCTCACGGTATCACCATCAATCAGACAGAAGAAGGTGTTTTTGTGAAACAGGTTGACCACAACTCGCCTGCTGCCAAAACAGGAGTTGTGAAAGAAGGTCAGTGGGCTACTGTGTATAGTTTTTGGCACACCTTGAAGTTATAAGCTACCTGCAAGGAGTTACTTTTATTAGTAATGAGAGAGTAATGAAGAGTTACAAGTAACACAACTACCAATGCACCATTACTGTTATTGGTAGTCAGGGTGTAATGCAGTTAGATTTCAAAAATAGCACATGTTGGGATTACGCAATTTTGCTCCTATGTCAGAGTTTTCTAATTCTAAAAGTTGCTCTCAAATGTCATTCTTAGGCATTCTGACAGATTTTTCCCAGTTCAGTGCTAGGCTTTTTTTCTTTTCTTTTCTTTTTAAAGACGAAAAGCAACAAAAATTAATAAGTTATAGGAAAAGATTGCACAATATTACTGATACCTAGCAAAGTAAATCACACCGGAGTAGGCCCATTGAATCAGTGGGTATTTGGGGATTTCCTGTACGAGTGAATTTACCAGCTCTCCATAGATTCAATGAGCTTACTCCAGTCCCACTTACTATGCTAAGCAACCGGGTTTCAGCTGGTGAATTGCTTCTGAATTGAAAAGCTTGTGTGTTGTATGATGATTTTTAGTGGTCTATAAAGGTATCACCTATTTTTGCATTTGAATGTTACTTGGTTCGGAGCACACAGCTCTCCTATACTTCAATGCTTCTAGAAAGCAGCTTTTAAAGCTCTAATGTTTGGCCAGAGAAAAAAACTATACCTTGAAGATTCTGTTTGTCGCTATTGTTTGCTAATAGAGGGCATTGTCTTTATAATAATAACAAAGACTCCTGTGACATGTTGAGACTCACACATTTATTGTGACATAACTTCTAAAAGCTATAGCTATTAATGCTGTGGACATTCTGTAGCTCTTCAGGAGTTCAAAAAAAATTTCAGTAAATGGGCTTGAGTGAATTAATATTTTAATGTAATAATAAAAAGCAAAGGCCAGGTTTGTTTTATTCTGTCATTTCTCTTGCCATGACTCACATTTGTAGACTCATTTTGTTTCCATGGGTTGAAGACATGTCTATCGGCACTTGCTTTGCAACAGTACTGTGTTCTCATGACTTTTTGCCCTTTGTTTAGCAAATTTGATGACTGCTTTCTTTTCACTACTATAAGCAAAGCAAAGTGTGCTGCTTATATACTGCCTCATAGCTTAAAGCAGTCTCTGGGTGGTTTACAGTTTATTTACGTAGGCTACACATTGCTCCTAACAGCAAGCTGGCTGGGCAGTTTACAGTTTATTTACGCAGGCTACACATTGCTCCTAACAGCAAGCTGGGTATTCAGTTTGCCAACCTTGGAAGGCTACGTCAACTTTGAACCAGCTACCTGAACTCAATAGAATCGAACACAGATCGTGAGCAGAGTCTTGATCGCAGTACTGCAGTTTAAGCACTGTGCCACAGGACTCTTATAACAAGTTTAGTTTGAAAAAATTCAAAAAAATATATTTCTCCCTCTCTTTAGTGTTGGTCTGTTTGGGGAAAAAAAGGCGGCAGTTTAAAAAGACTGTTGATTTGATGTCTCTCACATGCAATTATGTCTCTCGCGTGCAATTAGGTGCAATTTCAGTTCTGAAAAATCAAGATTAATCGTATAAACACAGTCCTCTCATGACATGCCACAAAGAAATCTATAATTTTAGAGCTATGATTGTGGTTTCACGAGAATGAGATACTGAAATAATTTGATCATTTGGAGTTGAATATATAATTCCTCCTTGAAATATTTTCTCTCAGTCTACATGTTTCCCCCTGCAATAGAAAGCTATTTTCTTACTGTATAATGAAGTACAAAATTTATTTTTGACTTGAAAGACGTGCTTGTCAAATATATACCAGAATTTAAATAAGTGCTAAGAGTTAACTCGTAGGACTGCAAATTATTATTATTATTAAACAAATATGTAATTGATACTTGGATTATGACTCCGGAAAGTTGAAACATGAAAGTTAGGAAGAAAGAGCAGAATGAAGAAGTTGTTCTTTAAAAGATAGCTTCAGATGTGGCACTCTGTAGCATGAGTGGGAAAAGGTTATTTATTGTAGGCTGTGCCACGTCCTGGCAGCCATCTTGCCAAGTGGTTCATGTGGGCGACAGTCGCACCTCTTGCAAAAGCTCCCAACCTTTGCTACACCATCTTGTGGGGACCCACAACCCTTTTTTAAAAACCTGAACATGTGATGATGCGGTTGCTTCTTTGGGGCCTAAAGGTCTTAATCCAGCCATCCCAGGTTAAGCAGAATGCATTGAGGCCACCGGTTCTGTTTGCCAAAATTATTCGCCATTTAGTGTGCTACTATTATAATTTAAGTCTTAGGGAGAGGAACTTTAAAAATAGGATTCTGTGCCTCTTGTGCCAAAATAAAATGTCTCACCTTATCCTTATTCAGGGAAGTCTTAAAATGTCCAATTGTCTCAAAATACACCTAGGCTGAGGTATAAGACAAGGTTGCCCCTTATCTCCAGTACTATTTACAATGATAATTGAATTATTGGCACAGATAATTAGAGACGATAAACAGATTAGAGCGATATATAACCAAGAAAATGGTAAGATAAATTTATTTGCTGATGACACGTTATTAATAGTTAAAAATCCAGTTGAAACAATTGAAAGGCTTAAATTACATTTGAAAGAATTTGAGAGTATAAACGAGGTTAAGGGTAAATTGGGGAAAGTCAGAATGTTTATTGTTAAATCACTCGGATGAGGAGAAAAGAAAAATGAAAATAATATTTGAAGGTAAAATCAGAAATTTTATGAAATATTTAGGGATTAATGTCACTTGGAATTTACAAGAAATAATTAAAATAAACTTGGATAGAAATTAAAAAGAGATTAAAGGAAGGATAAAATAATATCAGAAATTAAAAATTTCATGGTTTGGTAGAGTGGCATTACGTAAAATGAAAATAATTCCTAAATTGAATTTTATATTTTGGATGCTTCCTATAAAGATTACAGAAAAACAACTGAAAGAGTGGCATATAATGATAAATTGTTATTGTAATGGAAATAAATGAGTGAGGATTAATAAAAAATTATGGTATGTTACACAAAAAAAGGGAGGTTTTGGATTACCTAACATAAAATTATATAGCAAAGCATCTTAGAGATATCCCAGATATAATTAAGGGTAATAAAAATTTAATCTGGACCGAAATAGAAATGGAAGGTAAACAAGAAAGAGTGGATGGTATATTGTTTAAAGAAAAAAATGGGAGAAGAGGTTAAAAAGATTAATAATCCTTTCCTTAAAATATGTTACAAAATTGGGGGGGAAAATTAGAGGTTTGTTGAGTCCACCGATCTCTCCTTTATCTCAGGTGGTGGAATTAAAACGTCCAATTATATGGCTCTAAAAACTGTGCAGGGAGTGAACCGGATTTTAGTCTTCATAGGGACTGCCTTCATGTTTTTGTTGGGACTCCAAGCCCTGTCCGAACCACAACTTAGAGATCCCCCTAAAATTGTGCTTCCCTCGGAGAAAGGCTACGCTTGGAAGTTTCATGGCCGACCACCGGCCTTGCTTTCTGAGGGGAAAAGAGGCTGCCATGGTGCTTGTCACCTCCTGGGTCCACAGGCTCTGGAAAGGGCTCTTTGGGGGACCTTTATTTCCCCCAGTGGTAGGGTTGCCAGACGACAGGCAAAAGGAGGACATGTCCTCCTTTTTAGCTTAATGTCCTTCGTCCGGCAGGCAAAGATAAAAACCTTTAAAATGTCAGGCGTTTGCATATTTTATGTTAGAATTTTAGATGGGAGGGGGAGAGGTGGAAGGAAATTTGGGGGGGGGAAAGCCTCCATTGAATTGATTTTTATTTTTTAACATGACTTGGTCGGTTCACTAGGAGACATTTATTAGCAGCTATTGTAATAAAATTGTATTGATTGCAGAATGATTCAAATGAAACATTCAATATGTCCTCCTCTGCCCTCTTTTTTCTCTTTCCATGTCCTCCTTTTGGTACCCATGTATCTGGCAACCCTACCCAGTGGGGATGTGGAAGGGCTACCGGGGCACCCACTGCCTCAGGCGGCCATATGTCTTGGTCCTGCTCCTGCTGAATGTGTTGTTCTGAGAATACCACCAGCCCCCCAGCATAAGCTACCCGAGCATCCTTAAAAAGGGAGGGGTGGGATAAACATTAGGCTAAATAAAATAAGAAGAACATGTGTGAAGGAGGGTGGAATTTTTTCTAGCCCTCCTCTCACCTCTCTGGAAAACTCTGTCCTGAGGTAATTTTTTCCTCAGTTGTGCTCAATAAACATAGTAGGCCTCAGAGAGGCGAAAAAAGTATCTCTTCCTAGGACGTGTTAGTTTAAATGTCTTTTTTAAAAAATGGGATGAGAAGTGGGATTTAAAAACAAAACAAAAATCAGTGGAGGGAAAATAGAGACCTCGTGGAGGCATTTAATTCTTACTTCCTTTCACTCCATTTGTGTATTGCCTATTACTGTCTTCTTATTGTATTTGTTTTAAATCCTTTAAATTGTTTTCCATTGACTTTTATATTGTTTTTATCATCTCCTACATTGTATTGTTACTTTATTATTCTTTGTATTTTGTTACAGGGACATCGTCAATGTAAACCACTTACATATGTTATTATATTTAGGGATTTATATACAGGTTATAAATAAGCAAATTGACCTGTCAATTGCTGTTACTCACAATGCTAAATGACACCTACAATTTCAGGTGTTTGTTTGTTTGTTGATTGATTGATTGAGTGATTGATTTGCCTTTTCTGTGTCCCACTTCTGTAGCTACATGATCTCTGGGCGAGGCACAACAATCAAGCAGCAATGCGTGCATATTTTTTAAAACAACAGAAATTTAGCAGTTGTTAACAGACACAAAAAGCCTATTCTGCTGAGGGAGGAAAAAGCCACACTGAGCTGGTGCCATAAAATAGATAATGTAGGAGTTAACCACAACCTGTAGGGCCAAGCTTTCCAAAACTAGCAAGCTACTGCCAGATATATTGGTATATCTCTGAAAACAAGTTGCTGGATATCAAGCATTGCTTTGTGGGTTTGCAAAAGCATTTTTGTAGTAAAATGGCTGGCTGTAACAACTGCTGCATTTCAGCTGCTGTTTTTCTAAAATGCATACAGGTTGCTCTTTGGTATATCTCTGAAAACAAGCTGATGGAAATCAAGTGTTGTTTTGTGGGTTGCCAAAGCCATCTTGTTGGCAGCTGAAGAGAGACAGGATGAAATAAGTACGGGAACAGGAATATGTAGTCCTCCGGATATTATTGGACTTAAGTTGTCATCTGCTGCAGCCACTGTAGCTGATGATGAAAAGTGATGGGAGTTGAGGACCATCAACATTTGAAAACCATGTATTCCCTATCCTGGCCTAAGCCATCTCATCTTGCAGGGCTATTTTAATCTTTAATATTTCCATGTCTTTCTTTTCCCCAGGGGATCAGATAGTGAGTGCCACAATTTACTTTGACAACTTGCAGTCCGGGGAAGTTACAGAGCTCCTTAAAAATGTAGGCCACCACACAGTGGGCCTTCGGCTACAGAGGAAAGGCGACCGGTCTCCATTGCCAGGACAGTCTTGGTCCCATGATGTGTTTACCCCGAAAAGTCCAGAGGTTGTTCTGGTGAGTTTACAGCAACAAAGGTGTCCTTCCTCGGGTGTTATTAGAAAGAAATTGAATGGGATGCTTAAGGAACTTGGAAGGAATGAGACAATCTCAAGCAGTCTTGGGCTTTGACCATAAAGGACACCAGAGGGAATTTTTTATTGAAATTAAGATGGCATTCAATGCAGCTCTGTCTCTATCGGTAGGCAAGGGCTTCAAAAAGGAAGACGCTGGCAGATGGCCGTTGCAGTCCTTTGGCTGCTCCTTCTGAATGTCCCAACGATGGCACTTTCTTGGAGGACAGAATTTTTATGCACCACTTAGCCTAATCCATTAGTCTCTTGTAACTGGCCCACTGTCCTCAGATGTAATTGAGGACACACTTCCATCATCAGTACTGGAGTATTTAGTTAGTAAACCAGTCAACTTCTGTGTAAGGATTGGGAAAGGGGCAGTGTCCTGTCCTTCATGCAGCAGAATTATTTTAGGGGTGGTCCTGAGTGTTCAATAAGGCAATTGGAGGCAGATACTCATAACATTAGTTATGAAAAGAGGACCTGATTCTCATGAAGGTGGTCAGCCTGTGCCAAGATGGAACAACTTGAGATTATTGACTAGAACTCGTAGAACTATAATAAAACTACAAAGGAGATCTAATTTTACTATGATTGCTGTTGTTTGTTCTGTTCAGCATAGATGTTAAATCTGCATTGAGATAACATTTGGTAGTAAGCAGCCATTCCTTTTCTGTTCCAGAGCGGAGATGATGAAGATTACAGACGGATTTATACGACAAAAATTAAGCCTCGCCTTAAATCAGAAGATGGTATGGAAGTGGAACACACAGGAACCCAGAGCAGAACAATCACGGTCACCAAGAGAGTTACTGCTTACACAGTTGATGTCACAGGACCTGAAAGTGCCAAAGAGATTGACATAACCAGTCCAGAGTTTAAAATCAAGATTCCAAAACATGAACATACCCATGTTTCAAAAGCAGAGATTGAAACAGAACCTGGGAAAACTGTCATCAAGATACCACATATGGATTTGTCAGGGAGAACTAGCCAAGTAAGAGACTCCCATGTTGGGAAGAGAGGACCTTCTGAAGTTACATCTTCTGGACCAACTGTTGAATCACCGTCAAAGAAGCTGGAATTTGGCGTTCCTGGTATTCATGTAGATGCTGGTATTCATGTTACAAGGCCTGAAATAAATGGGAAAACAGGGGATATAGACTTAAAAGCAGGGGTTCCAGATATCTCAGGTCCTAAAATACAAGGTGATGTGGGAGGGTTGCAAGCGGATTTGTCACTACCATTCTCCAAGGGTCCTTCTGTTGGTATTTCAGTCCCCCAAATTCAAGGTGAAAGTAAAGGAAATATCACATTTCCTTCAATGAAAATGCCTAAATTTGGTATATCAATTCCAGTTTCTGATGTTGAAGTCCCTCAACTTGATACAGCTGCACCTTCAGTTACAATCAAAAGCTCTGAAATCACACCGCCGCAAATAGATATAAAAGGACTGAACCTGAAAGATGGGGTGAAAATGACCTCTCCAACTTTGGAAGGCCCCAAGGTGGATATCAAAGGGCCAAAAGTGGATTTTGGGGCTCCAGATGTTGGACTTGAAGGGAGTGAAGGAAAAATCAAAATTCCACACATGAAACTTCCTAAGTTTTCTGCATCAAGCCCTGCTGTGGATGTGACTGTTCCAGAAGGGAAAGTTGACATTTCAGGGCCTCAAGTGGTTATGCAAGCGCCAGATGTGACTCTTGAAGCACAAACGAAAGGACACAAATTTGGCAAGCCTGAAATATTTGGTCAGACACCTAAAATTTCTATGTCAGACGTTGATTTAAACCTCAAGGGCCCTAAAGTGAAAGGAGCTGCTGATATTTCAGGGCCAAAGATGGAAAGTGCCTTGAAAGGACCTGGCATGGGCATTAAGGGGCCCAGACTAGATATCGAAGTTCCCAATGTTGACCTCAAAGGTAGTTTGGAAGGTCCAAAAGTCTCAGTGCCTTCTTTGAAAACATCTCCAGTAAAAGTAGATATGCCAGATGTGAAGGGGATGATAGGAAAGGCTGATGTGGATGTTTCTGTGCCAAAGGTAGAAGGTGGTATCAAGGGACCTCAGGTTGATATCACAGGCCCTAAAATAGACACAACTGCACCCAGCTTTGGCATCAAAGGACTTGGAGGGCAACTGAAGGGTTCCCAAATCAAGACTCCACAAATATCCATACCTGACATTGACCTGAACTTGAAAGGTCCCAAAATCAAAGGTGATATAGGTGATGCATCCATTCCGAAAGTGGAAGGAGAATTAAAAGGCCCAGGGGTTGACATCAAAGGTCCCAAACTGGATGTCACTGCCCCAGATGTAGAACTTCATGGACCAGAACTCAAAATGCCCAAAATGAAAATGCCTAAATTTGGAGTGCCTGGCTTTAAAACTGAAGGTCCTGATGTAGACATCAGTATTCCAAAGGGAAGTGTTGGCATTTCTGGTCCCAAGGTTGACATTGAAGCTCCCAGTGTGGACATCAAAGGCCCAGCAGGACAGCTAAAGGGCCCCCATGTCAAAATGCCAGAAGTACATGTCAAGACTCCTCAAATATCCATACCAGACATCGACCTAAACCTGAAAGGCCCGAAAATCAAGGGAGACGTGGATGTTTCCATTCCTAAAATGGAAGGAGAATTAAAAGGCCCAGCTGTTGACATCAAGGGTCCCAAAGTGGACATCAGTGCACCGGACGTTGAACTTCATGGCCCAGAACTCAAAATGCCAAAACTGAAAATGCCCAAATTCGGCATGCCAGGGTTCAAAGCAGAGGTTCCAGATGTAGACATCAGTCTTCCGAAGGGCAACATTGACATTTCATCTCCAAAGGTAGAGATAGAAGGACCAGAAGAAAAAATTAAAGGTCCCACATTCAAGATGCCCCAAGTGCCTGATGTGGATCTGAAGGGGCCCACACTTAAAGGTAACATCAATGTTTCTGTGCCAGAGGTGGAAAGTGCTTTCAGAGGACCCCAGGTGGATATCAAAGGCTCTAAAATGGACTTCCCTGAACCTGGCATTGACATAAAAGGCACTGGAGCACAACTCAAAGGTCTTCATGTAAAGACTCCACAAATATCCATACCTGACATTGATCTGAACTTGAAAGGCCCCAGGGTCAAAGGAGACATAGATGTTTCCATTCCAAAAGTGGAAGGAGAATTAAAAGGCTCAGGTGTCAACATCAGCAGTCCCAAACTGGATGTCAGTGCCCCAGATGTAGAACTTCATGGACCAGAACTCAAAATGCCCAAAATGAAAATGCCTAAATTTGGAGTTCCTGGCTTGAAAGCTGAAGGTCCTGATGTAGATGCCAGTCTTCCAAAGGGAAGTGTTGACATTTCAGGTCCAAAGGTGGGCATTGACGCTCCCAGTGTAGGCATCAAAGGTCCAGCAGGACAACTGAAAGGTCCTCATGTCAAGATGCCAGAAGTACATGTCAAGACTCCTCAAATATCCATACCAGACATCGACCTGAACCTGAAGGGCCCGAAAATCAAGGGAGACATGGATGTTTCCATTCCAAAAATGGAAGGAGAATTAAAAGGCCCAGCTGTTGACATCAAGGGTCCCAAAATGGACATCAGTGCACCGGATGTTGAACTTCATGGTCCAGAACTCAAAATGCCAAAAATGAAAATGCCCAAATTCAGCATGCCAGGGTTCAAAGCAGATGTACCTGATGTAGACATCAGTCTTCCAAAGGGCAGCGTTGAAATTTCAGGTCCAAATGTAGACATAGAAGCTCCCAGTGTGGGCATCAAAGGTCCAGCAGGACAACTGAAAGGTCCTCATGTCAAGATGCCAGAAGTACATGTCAAGACTCCTCAAATATCCATACCAGACATCGACCTGAACCTGAAGGGCCCGAAAATCAAGGGAGACATGGATGTTTCCATTCCAAAAATGGAAGGAGAATTAAAAGGCCCAGCTGTTGACATCAAGGGTCCCAAAATGGACATCAGTGCACCGGATGTTGAACTTCATGGCCCAGAACTCAAAATGCCAAAACTGAAAATGCCCAAATTCAGCATGCCAGGGTTCAAAGCAGATGTCCCTGATGTAGATGTCAGTCTTCCAAAAGGAAGCATTGACATTTCAGGTCCAAAAGTAGATGTAGAAGTTCCCAGTGTGGACATCAAAGGGCCAACAGGACAGCTAAAAGGCCCCCATGTCAAGATGCCAGAAGTACATGTCAAGACTCCTCAAATATCCATACCAGACATCGACCTGAACCTGAAGGGTCCCAGAGTCAAGGGAGATGTAGATGTTTCCCTCCCAAAAGTTGAAGGAGGATTAAAGGGCCCAGCTGTTGACATCAAGGGTCCCAAAATGGACATCAGTGCACCGGATGTTGAACTTCATGGCCCAGAACTCAAAATGCCAAAACTGAAAATGCCCAAATTCAGCATGCCAGGGTTCAAAGCAGATGTCCCTGATGTAGATGTCAGTCTTCCAAAGGGCAGTGTTGACATTTCAGGTCCAAAGGTAGACATAGAAGCACCTGGAGTGGACATTGAGGGGCCAGAAGGCAAAATTAAAGGTCCAAGATTCAAAATGCCTGAAATGCATATGAAAACACCTAAAATATCCATGCCAGACATTGATCTGAATCTAAAAGGGCCCAAATTCAAAGGAGATGTGGATGTTTCTAGACCAAAGATAGGAGGTGAACTCAAAGGTCCTCATGTTGACATTGAAGGTCCTAAATTGGATGTTGATATTCCTGATGTAGAGATGGAAGGTCCTGAAGGAAAAATTAAAGGTTCTAAATTCAAGATGCCCAAGCTAAATATTAAAGGCCCTAAAATATCCATGCCAGATGTAGACCTGGACCTAAAAGTCCCCAAAATGAAAGGTGAAATGGATGTGACTGTTCCGGAGATTGAGGGTGATTTGAAAGGACCACGTATTGATGTCAAGAGTCCGAAGCTTGATGTGGATCTCCCGGATGTTGATCTTGAAGGTCCAGATGCCAAGTTGAAGATGCCAAAAATGAAGTTACCAAAGTTTGAGATGCCTGGCTTCAAAGGTCCTGATGTTGATGTGAGCCTTCCCAAAGGAGACCTTGAAGTTTCAGGACCAAAACTGGATATTGATATGCCAAATGTAGACATTGAATGTCCAGAAGGAAAAGTTAAAGGACCTAAATTCAAAATGCCAGAGATGCATTTCAAAACACCCAAAATCTCCATGCCCGATATTGATCTGAACTTGAAGGGACCCAAGGTGAAAGGAGATGTTGAAGTGTCTGTCCCAAAATTAGAAGGAGAATTGACGGGTCCGCAAATAGATATCAAGGCCCCTACAGTAGATGTGAGTGGCCCTGATGTTGATCTCAAGAGTGAGGGGAAGCTGAAAATGCCAAAATTGAAGATGCCACATTTTAGTGCCACAGGACCCAAAGTTGAAGGCCCCGATGTAGATCTCAGCTTCCCAAAAGGAGATGTAGATTTTGAAGCTCCTGAATTGGATATTGAAGGTCCTGATGCAAAACTGAAAGGTTCAAAATTTAAGATGCCCAAACTAAATATTAAAGCACCTAAAATCTCCATGCCTGATGTAGACTTACATCTCAGAGGCCCTGGAGCAAGAGGCGAAATGGATGTAACTGTTCCAAATCTTGAAGGAAATATCAAGGGCCCCAAAGTAGACATTGAAGCACCTGATGTTGAAATTGAGGGTCCAGAAGGAAAGTGGAAAGGCCCTAAATTCAAGATGCCTGAAATGAACATCAAGGCTCCAAAGATCTCCATGCCAGAGATTGATTTGAACCTGAAGGGGCCTAAACTGAAGGGGGATGGTGACGTGTCAGTTCCAAAACTGGAAGGTGACCTCAGAGCCCCAGATGTTGATCTCAAGGGTCCTAAAGTGGATATTGAAGCACCTGATGTTGAAATTGAGGGTCCAGAAGGAAAGTGGAAAGGCCCTAAATTCAAGATGCCTGAAATGAACATCAAGGCTCCAAAGATCTCCATGCCAGAGATTGATTTGAACCTGAAGGGGCCTAAACTGAAGGGGGATGGTGACGTGTCAGTTCCAAAACTGGAAGGTGACCTCAGAGCCCCAGATGTTGATCTCAAGGGTCCTAAAGTGGATATTGAAGCACCTGATGTTGAAATTGAGGGTCCAGAAGGAAAGTGGAAAGGCCCTAAATTCAAGATGCCTGAAATGAACATCAAGGCTCCAAAGATCTCCATGCCAGAGATTGATTTGAACCTGAAGGGGCCTAAACTGAAGGGGGATGGTGACGTGTCAGTTCCAAAACTGGAAGGTGACCTCAGAGCCCCAGATGTTGATCTCAAGGGTCCTAAAGTGGATATTGAAGCACCTGATGTTGAAATTGAGGGTCCAGAAGGAAAGTGGAAAGGCCCTAAATTCAAGATGCCTGAAATGAACATCAAGGCTCCAAAGATCTCCATGCCAGAGATTGATTTGAACCTGAAGGGGCCTAAACTGAAGGGGGATGGTGACGTGTCAGTTCCAAAACTGGAAGGTGACCTCAGAGCCCCAGATGTTGATCTCAAGGGTCCTAAAGTGGATATTGAAGCACCTGATGTTGAAATTGAGGGTCCAGAAGGAAAGTGGAAAGGCCCTAAATTCAAGATGCCTGAAATGAACATCAAGGCTCCAAAGATCTCCATGCCAGAGATTGATTTGAACCTGAAGGGGCCTAAACTGAAGGGGGATGGTGACGTGTCAGTTCCAAAACTGGAAGGTGACCTCAGAGCCCCAGATGTTGATCTCAAGGGTCCTAAAGTGGATATTGAAGCACCTGATGTTGAAATTGAGGGTCCAGAAGGAAAGTGGAAAGGCCCTAAATTCAAGATGCCTGAAATGAACATCAAGGCTCCAAAGATCTCCATGCCAGAGATTGATTTGAACCTGAAGGGGCCTAAACTGAAGGGGGATGGTGACGTGTCAGTTCCAAAACTGGAAGGTGACCTCAGAGCCCCAGATGTTGATCTCAAGGGTCCTAAAGTGGATATTGAAGCACCTGATGTTGAAATTGAGGGTCCAGAAGGAAAGTGGAAAGGCCCTAAATTCAAGATGCCTGAAATGAACATCAAGGCTCCAAAGATCTCCATGCCAGAGATTGATTTGAACCTGAAGGGGCCTAAACTGAAGGGGGATGGTGACGTGTCAGTTCCAAAACTGGAAGGTGACCTCAGAGCCCCAGATGTTGATCTCAAGGGTCCTAAAGTGGATATTGAAGCACCTGATGTTGAAATTGAGGGTCCAGAAGGAAAGTGGAAAGGCCCTAAATTCAAGATGCCTGAAATGAACATCAAGGCTCCAAAGATCTCCATGCCAGAGATTGATTTGAACCTGAAGGGGCCTAAACTGAAGGGGGATGGTGACGTGTCAGTTCCAAAACTGGAAGGTGACCTCAGAGCCCCAGATGTTGATCTCAAGGGTCCTAAAGTGGATATTGAAGCACCTGATGTTGAAATTGAGGGTCCAGAAGGAAAGTGGAAAGGCCCTAAATTCAAGATGCCTGAAATGAACATCAAGGCTCCAAAGATCTCCATGCCAGAGATTGATTTGAACCTGAAGGGGCCTAAACTGAAGGGGGATGGTGACGTGTCAGTTCCAAAACTGGAAGGTGACCTCAGAGCCCCAGATGTTGATCTCAAGGGTCCTAAAGTGGATATTGAAGCACCTGATGTTGAAATTGAGGGTCCAGAAGGAAAGTGGAAAGGCCCTAAATTCAAGATGCCTGAAATGAACATCAAGGCTCCAAAGATCTCCATGCCAGAGATTGATTTGAACCTGAAGGGGCCTAAACTGAAGGGGGATGGTGACGTGTCAGTTCCAAAACTGGAAGGTGACCTCAGAGCCCCAGATGTTGATCTCAAGGGTCCTAAAGTGGATATTGAAGCACCTGATGTTGAAATTGAGGGTCCAGAAGGAAAGTGGAAAGGCCCTAAATTCAAGATGCCTGAAATGAACATCAAGGCTCCAAAGATCTCCATGCCAGAGATTGATTTGAACCTGAAGGGGCCTAAACTGAAGGGGGATGGTGACGTGTCAGTTCCAAAACTGGAAGGTGACCTCAGAGCCCCAGATGTTGATCTCAAGGGTCCTAAAGTGGATATTGAAGCACCTGATGTTGAAATTGAGGGTCCAGAAGGAAAGTGGAAAGGCCCTAAATTCAAGATGCCTGAAATGAACATCAAGGCTCCAAAGATCTCCATGCCAGAGATTGATTTGAACCTGAAGGGGCCTAAACTGAAGGGGGATGGTGACGTGTCAGTTCCAAAACTGGAAGGTGACCTCAGAGCCCCAGATGTTGATCTCAAGGGTCCTAAAGTGGATATTGAAGCACCTGATGTTGAAATTGAGGGTCCAGAAGGAAAGTGGAAAGGCCCTAAATTCAAGATGCCTGAAATGAACATCAAGGCTCCAAAGATCTCCATGCCAGAGATTGATTTGAACCTGAAGGGGCCTAAACTGAAGGGGGATGGTGACGTGTCAGTTCCAAAACTGGAAGGTGACCTCAGAGCCCCAGATGTTGATCTCAAGGGTCCTAAAGTGGATATTGAAGCACCTGATGTTGAAATTGAGGGTCCAGAAGGAAAGTGGAAAGGCCCTAAATTCAAGATGCCTGAAATGAACATCAAGGCTCCAAAGATCTCCATGCCAGAGATTGATTTGAACCTGAAGGGGCCTAAACTGAAGGGGGATGGTGACGTGTCAGTTCCAAAACTGGAAGGTGACCTCAGAGCCCCAGATGTTGATCTCAAGGGTCCTAAAGTGGATATTGAAGCACCTGATGTTGAAATTGAGGGTCCAGAAGGAAAGTGGAAAGGCCCTAAATTCAAGATGCCTGAAATGAACATCAAGGCTCCAAAGATCTCCATGCCAGAGATTGATTTGAACCTGAAGGGGCCTAAACTGAAGGGGGATGGTGACGTGTCAGTTCCAAAACTGGAAGGTGACCTCAGAGCCCCAGATGTTGATCTCAAGGGTCCTAAAGTGGATATTGAAGCACCTGATGTTGAAATTGAGGGTCCAGAAGGAAAGTGGAAAGGCCCTAAATTCAAGATGCCTGAAATGAACATCAAGGCTCCAAAGATCTCCATGCCAGATGTTGACTTGAACCTGAAGGGCCCCAAACTGAAAGGAGATGTGGATGTTTCAGTGCCAGAGGTTGAAGGTGAATTGACAGGACCCAACATTGACATCAGAGGCCCAAAAGTGGACATTGACGCACCCGATCTTGAGCTTCATGGTCCTGAAGGCAAGCTGAAACTGCCCAAATTCAAAATGCCCAAATTTGGAATGCCTGGTTTCAAAGCAGAAGGCCCTGAACTAGATGTCAATCTTCCAAAGGGGGACATTGATGTATCTGCTCCAAAGGTAGACCTTGAAGGTCCTGAATTTGATATTGAAGGTCCAGAAGGCAAGATTAAAGGTCCTAAGTTCAAGATGCCTGAAATGCACATCAAGGCACCCAAGATCTCCATGCCAGATGTTGACTTGAACCTGAAGGGCCCCAAACTGAAAGGGGATGTGGATGTTTCATTGCCAAAAGTTGAAGGTGAATTGAAAGGACCCAACATTGACATCAGAAGCCCGAAAGTGGACATCGACACACCAGACCTTGAGCTTCATGGTCCTGAAGGCAAGCTGAAAATGCCCAAATTTAAAATGCCCAAATTTGGAATGCCTGGCTTTAAAGGAGAAGGCCCTTCAATGGATGTGAACTTACCCAAGGGTGAGGTAGATATTTCTGCTCCCAAATTAGACATTGAAACTCCTGATTTGGAAATAGAAGGCCCTGAAGGAAAATTAAAAGGCCCCAAGATTAAGAAGCCTGAAATGCATTTTAATGTCCCCAAAATTTCGATGCCTGATATTGACTTAAATTTGAAAGGTCCAAAATTAAAAGGCGACATAGAAGGTGACATCAAAGGTCCTAATGTTGAACTGAAAGGGCCAGACATTGATGTGGAGGCACCAAAAATAGATATTGAAGCAAAGCCAAAGAAGTCAAGATTTAAGCTTCCCAAATTCAATTTTTCTGGGCCAAAGATTCATACCCCAGAGGTTGATGTGAAACTTAAGAAACCAGATATTGATGTGTCAGGTCCAAAAATTGATGTTCAAGGTCCAGATGTTGACATTCAGGGAAAAGCAAAAGGTTCTAAATTTAAAATGCCCTCCTTGAACATCTCATCACCAAAAGTTTCAATGCCTGATGTGGAATTAAACTTAAAAGGACCTAAATTAAAAGGAGACCTTGATGTTTCTGCTCCAAGCCTGGAAGGAGATCTTAAAGCTCCTGACATTGAAGTCAAAGGCCCCAAATTGGACATTGATGTTCCAGATGTTGACCTGCATGGACCAGAGGCCAAACTAAAAATGCCCAAGTTTAGGATGCCTAAATTTGGAATTCCAGGAATCAAAGCAGAGGGACCTGATGTGGATGTAGATCTTCCCAAAGCAGACATTGAACTATCAGGCCCCAAATTGGACATTGAAGCCCCTGACATCGAAGTAGAAGGCCCCGAGGGCAGGATGAAGGGCCCCAAATTTAAAATGCCTGAAATGAATATTAATCTTCCCAAAATGTCAATGCCAGATGTAGACTTAAATTTAAAAGGCCCTAAACTAAAAGGAGGTGTTGATATTTCTACTCCAAAACTGGAAGGTGACCTGAAAGGTCCAAATGTTGAGATCAAGGGTCCAAAAGTAGATGTTGATATTCCAGATGTTGAGATTGAAGTCCCAGAAGGAAAACTGAAGGGGCCCAAATTTAAAATGCCAGACATGCACTTTAAAACCCCTAAAATCTCCATGCCAGATTTCGACATGAACCTAAAAGGCCCTAAAGTAAAAGGAGATGTAGATGTTTCAGTTCCAAAGCTGGAAGGTGACTTGAAAGCTCCAGACATAGACATCAAAGGCCCAAAATTGGATGTTGATATCCCAGATGTTGATATAGAAGGGCCTGATGGAAAACTCAAAGGACCTAAGTTCAGGATGCCTGAAATGCATTTTAAAGCTCCCAAAATCTCCATGCCAGACTTTGACATTAATTTAAAAGGCCCCAAAGTAAAGGGGGACATGGATGTGTCTGTACCAAAATTGGAAGGGGATCTAAAAGGCCTTGAAGCTGACATCAAAGGTCCAAAACTAGATGTAGATGTACCAGATGTTGAAATTGAAGGCCCAGAAGGAAAGTGGAAAGGCCCTAAATTCAAGATGCCTGAAATGAACATCAAGGCTCCAAAGATCTCCATGCCCGACATTGATCTGAACCTGAAAGGCCCTAAAATGAAAGGAGATGTGGATGTCTCCTTGCCAAAGGTTGAAGGTGATTTGAAAGGACCAGAAATAGACATCAGAGGTCCTAAACTGGACATTGAGGCTCCAGATGTTGACCTTCATGGGCCAGAAGGAAAACTGAAAATGCCCAAGTTCAAGATGCCCAAGTTTGGAATGCCTGGATTCAAAGGAGAAGGACCCGATGTGGATGTAAGTCTCCCCAAAGCAGAGCTGGACGTTTCCCTTCCCAAAGTTGACATTGAAGCACCCAGCCTGGACGTTGAAGGTCCTGAAGGAAAACTGAAAGGGCCCAAGTTTAAGATGCCCGAAATGCATATCAAAGCTCCAAAGATCTCCATGCCAGATATTGATTAGAACCTGAAGGGGCCTAAACTGAAGGGGGATGTTGACGTGTCAGTTCCAAAACTGGAAGGTGACCTCAGAGGCCCAGATGTTGATCTCAAGGGTCCTAAAGTGGATATTGAAGCACCTGATGTTGAGATTGAAGGTCCTGATGGAAAGTGGAAAGGCCCCAAGTTCAAGATGCCAGATATGCACTTCAAAGCACCCAAAATCTCCATGCCGGACTTTGATTTGAACTTGAAAGGTCCTAAAGTGAAAGGAGATGTGGATGTCTCTGTGCCAAAGTTGGAAGGTGATCTGAAGGCCCCTGATCTTGATATCAAAGGACCAAAACTAGATGTTGATGTTCCTGATGTTGAGCTTGAAGGTCCCGAGGGAAAGTGGAAAGGGCCTAAATTTAAGATGCCAGACATGCACTTCAAAGCACCCAAAATTTCCATGCCTGATGTGGATTTCAACCTGAAAGGGCCCAAGATGAAAGGAGATGTAGACCTTTCTGCTCCCAGCCTAGAAGGTGATTTGAAAGCACCAGACATTGACATCAGAGGTCCTAAACTGGACATTGAGGTTCCAGATGTTGACCTTCATGGGCCAGAAGGAAAACTGAAAATGCCCAAGTTCAAGATGCCCAAGTTTGGAATGCCTGGATTCAAAGGAGAAGGACCCGATGTGGATGTAAGCCTCCCCAAAGCAGAGCTGGACGTTTCCCTTCCCAAAGTTGACATTGAAGCACCCAGCCTGGACGTTGAAGGTCCTGAAGGAAAACTGAAAGGGCCCAAGTTTAAGATGCCCGAAATGCATATCAAAGCTCCAAAGATCTCCATGCCAGATATTGATTAGAACCTGAAGGGGCCTAAACTGAAGGGGGATGTTGACGTGTCAGTTCCAAAACTGGAAGGTGACCTCAGAGGCCCAGATGTTGATCTCAAGGGTCCTAAAGTGGACATTGAAGCACCTGATGTTGAGATTGAAGGTCCTGATGGAAAGTGGAAAGGCCCCAAGTTCAAGATGCCAGATATGCACTTCAAAGCACCCAAAATCTCCATGCCGGACTTTGATTTGAACTTGAAAGGTCCTAAAGTGAAAGGAGATGTGGATGTCTCTGTGCCAAAGTTGGAAGGTGATCTGAAGGCCCCTGATCTTGATATCAAAGGACCAAAACTAGATGTTGATGTTCCTGATGTTGAGCTTGAAGGTCCCGAGGGAAAGTGGAAAGGGCCTAAATTTAAGATGCCAGACATGCACTTCAAAGCACCCAAAATTTCCATGCCTGATGTGGATTTCAACCTGAAAGGGCCCAAGATGAAAGGAGATGTAGACCTTTCTGCTCCCAGCCTAGAAGGTGATTTGAAAGCACCAGACATTGACATCAGAGGTCCTAAACTGGACATTGAGG